GGGGGGGTGGGGTGGGGGGGACACTCGAGGGCATCACTCCCTGGCCCTCTGAGCTCTGCTATGATGCTCTTCCACGGAGGGGGAGGGAGCCGAGAGAATACGGCGCAGGGTGAATAAGGCTTGGGATTTATCCACATCATCCTCCCCTCGCCCCCGCAGTGCTCTTCTCTGCCCCCCCGTCACGGCGGCCAAACGCTCCTGGCTGTAAAAGTAACATTGATTACCTCCAGCTCCGTGATCGCTTAATCAGAACGGGATTATTTTACGCGCCCGCATCAGTGGCCGCTGACTCAATACGATTTCCCCCCCCCCCTTTTGAAAAGAAAAATAGCTTTTCCCTTTCCCTGTGAAAGCCAACAATACCCGGAGTGAGGCAGCTGGATCCTCCAGGATTTATGGGCTTTTCTCTCGCTTTCATGAAAGCAGGTGCCTTTGGGACCTCCATTGTCCCAGCCCCCAACTCATAATAGGACTTTCTGCAATGAAAGATCCCTGCTCCCAGCTCCCAAATACCTCGGCTGGAGGAGCCGCCGCCTGCCCCTGAGGTGTGCCCGGCCTGCCTGGGGAGGAAGGCTCTTGCCCAGGCACGGGGCTCTTCACCACAGCCGGTGACTCCAGTCCTCGGGCATCACCCCGGAGGAGCCGGTGGGTTTCCATCCCGCCACGGGGAGGGTGGGATCCCACAGCTGGCCGGGCTGTGCTGTGCTGTGCCGGGGGTGCGGGAAGGTGTGCGGCCGCCCCCCGCCCTGCCCCACCCAGCCCGGCCGGCCCTCCTCGCCCCGGCACAAAGCACACTGCCCCTATTCTTTCGGCCTTTGTAGCCATATGGCAAATCCATGTAGACACAGCCAACATCCATTTATTCAGGCACATAATGTCCCGCAACAGGGAACAATTGGAACTTTGTTTGCTTCTATTATTGATGCGAATGGGCGACAGAGAGAGAGAGAGAGAGAAAAAAAAAATCATTTAACTATAAGAGATATCCAGCTAATTATGAACCATATGTGCCTATAGTTTCAAAGCAATCCAATGAAGTTCATTTTAAATCTAGACTACTTTATTAGTACGGAAGACAGATGTCTCAACAGTACATGCATCAGAGGAAACCATGTAAAGAAGTTCTTGAAATATTTAACTAGGACTCATTCATTGTCAGAGGGGCTTTAAAGTGCCCTTTATCATGAGAATGCATAGGCAGAAGCGGAGGGAGGCTGCTGGTTGTTACCGCCAACCCACTTACTCCTTAGCGGTAAATCCCAAATTCCACTTTGGATTTGAGGACAGGAATATTTTCGGAAAGGATTCAAAATATCAGGGTTCTTGATGGACCTAGCTTGCCGCTCATTACAGCTACAAAAAGTCAGGTCGTTATTTGAGCCACCTTAATCCCAGGCTGAAGTCAGCTATGCAATTAGAGGAATAATCTGCCCCAAATCACCACCGCTCCCTCTCCTGGGGAGCAGAGCCGCGCTTTTGGAGGTTGGCTACTGCGGTTCCTCAGCTGCCCCGAGAGAGACTGAGACAGGAGCATTAATGTTGCTGAACCTCCAGAGATTTGTTTCATAAGAACACCTCTCCATGCAAATCCTGTGGTTCCTTAAGGGAAAGGGCTCTGCAGGAAGACTGGAAGGGAAGCGTAGCGGGAGAAAGTCTTTCAGATTTTTTTTTTTTTTTTAAATGCAATTATCAACAAACAATTTGGCAAAAAGGGTAGCGCTATCTTTATGAGCATGGCAACATCTCTCAGTAATTAAGCCACTTCAGTTAGATGAATGCAACATATGGTTGACACTGGGAATCATTCTCCTTCTGAGCCGCAACTTTTCTTTCCGCGCCAAAACTTGTTCTATTATCACTTAAAATAAACAAAAAGCTGCTTTCCACTTCGTGAGCAAATATTTGTCACTAATGAGCAGGAGGTGTAGGTAACAGAATGGGGAAAAAACCCATCATTTTTAAGGAATAATTTCTTACGTTTGTGTATGGAAATGAAATAAATCTACTAAATGCCCAATTCACTTGCAATGAGTTGCGGTTGCTTGGTAGGATGGCTACACGGGGAGAGCTGTGCAAAGGATGCACGTGGGGAGACGTAAAATTCAATTGACCATGAGAGAGCAGAGAAACAGTTATGAAGACTGCATGCATATATACAAGCACACACACATATATACATGAAATAACTAATCAGAGAGTATAAAATAATTAATGAGGGAACTGGATTTTTTGTGGTTTTTAGCCACCTTGTCACTTATTGATGCAGAATAAACTCACCATTGTTTTCCTATGCCTTCCCTTTCACTAGCCTGTACCCTCTCAGAAAAGTTCTTCCTAACAAGAATTTTTGGAACAAAGCAAGCCAAAACACAAACCAGAAGTCTTTCTGAATGATGAAAGGATGGGATTATATCTGTTATTCTGACTATTCTCCTATCACGCAGTATCTAGTCCAGTTCTGGGCTCCCAGTTCGAGAAGGACAGGAACTGCTGGAGAGGGTACAGAAAAGGGCTATGAAGAACATCTCTCTTATGAGGAAAAGCTGAGGGACTTGGGTCTTTTTAGTCTGGAGAAGAGAAGACTAAGGGGGGATTTGATCAACACCTATAAATACTTAAAGGGTGGGTGTCAAGAGGATGGGGCCAGTCTATTTTTAGTGGTGCCCAGTAACAGAACAAGAGGTTAACAGGCACAAACTTAAGATTAGAAGTTCCATCTAAACATGAAGAGGAACTTCTTTACTTTAAGGGCAGCAGAGCACTGGAACAGGCTGCCCAGAGAAATGGTGGGGTCTCAATCTCTGGAGACATTCAAAACCCACCTGGACACATTCCTGTGCAACCTGCTCTAGGTGGACCTGCTCTGGCAGGAAGGTTGGACCAGATGATCCCCAGAGGTCCCTTCCAACCCCTTATCATTCTGTGACTCACAGAGAAAGGAGGAGAATCAAGTATCTCCTTTCCTATTACACAATTTCTAGTACTAAAGACCACATAATCTCTTTTGGTGTCAGTGGCAAAATTCCAAACAAAAGGGACTTAATGGTTTTGTTTGTCCATTTTTTAAACCAAGGGGGATTTTTAGCTATATATGTCTAAGAAACTTTTGCTGGGGCAAATTTATGGGGGAAAGAGGGGAAAGATGCTAATTAGATGAGCTGTGTGGAATGTAAAAGCCCTGACGCAGGCCCTGCTATGAGATTAAAAAAAAGAAAAAAAGCAGCTCACACTCTTTTAAACACAGAACATACTAAATTTTGGAGCCACTTTCCCCAATTCACATGACCAAGCCTCTGCTCCAGGAAAACTCATGGGCAATGGTGGCTGTACAGTCTCGTGTTTGCATCCATGATGTCACAGGCTCCCAATCTATGGGATAGTGATGGGGATGCAGAGAAAGGGAACAGGAGACAGGGATGGGGGGGGGGCAGCACCAGAAAACACCTGGGATGGGGATAACAGGGCACAGGTGGAACAGATGCACAGCTGAGGCTGGCATATAATGGAAGAGGCTGGGCAGAGAGCACAAAATTCTGCCATTGTGCATGAGGTGAGGGAGAAAAGGGAACAAGCCACAACTTTTATGTTCTGCATTATATATTAATTTATATTTATATTATGTGCCTTCCTTCATAGGCTGCCTGGACCCAACACACCTCTTCTTCCAACAAACAGCCGTGAAATTCATCCAGTAGTGTCCTGATTCTCCCCTCAACTCATCTACAGATGGATGCTAGTGATAATCTTCTATTTTTCATCCCTGTGGCCCAGCTCAGTGTGGGATCTAAAATGCCCCAGCCCTGCTGAGGAGTCATTAGGCTTCACATCGCCCCAAGATTACTCATTCTCTGCTACCAGATTTGCTTTTACATTCTCTCTCATGCACATGCATTACTCTTCTATTACACTCAGAGTGGGGATTGGGAAGGAAACACTTAAGCTTCAGAGGTGCCTGATCTGTCTGTACTATTTCAGCCCAGATCTTTTGCTCATGGTGCATTTTCACAGGCACGCACACCATTTCCTCCCCCAGGACACAGGCTACCAACTTCACACAGCACTTTCCCTTACAGAATGAATCTGGGCTGTGTGGCATGGGAAATTGCTGGTTAAACTGCCAGAGAAGATGAGAAAGTAAAGCAAGGGTCTGTAGGATGCTTTCCTGCTTAATCCAACACCAACAGTCGGATGCAGGTTTTTATTCTTTGGAGGGCAGTTGGCTCCCCCTGAGCAACAGAGGTTTTGTGCAAGGTGCTTGAAGTTTTTGCGAGCAGCCACTAATTGTGCCTGCCTTTGTTGGGCATCTGATAGGAGATGCTTGGGTGTGACTTGCAAAGGCACTGAGCATCCACAGCTGCAGCCAGGGTCACCAAGAACTGGGCTCTGCATGTGTTTTTGGTCAGATGAAGCCTGGGGCTTAGAAGGGCATGGCTATGGGGCACCTTGGACAAGCACTCTGGATTAATTATTATCTCCCATCTCTTTTTATGTTGGCTCTCCATCATTAAATAGGGATAATACCACTCACCATTTATTTTTTAATCCATTAATGTTTGGAAAGCTCTCGGATACTGCCATGAGCAGCACTGTATAAATCCGGTGGGGAAATTAATAATGTCTTTGAGCAAGGTTTGAATAGTGTGCAGTTAATAAGACATAGCACCATCCATTGAATGGAGAGAAAAACAAAATTGAGCAACTGCTCATTAAGCAAGCACTGTTCACTCTGTGCACTCAATGTGATCATTTAATTAAAAGATTTTATCATCGTGCACAGACACAAGGGGGCAGAGCCAAGGCCCCGTCTTCCCTCATCCTTGCCTGCTCCACATCAAACACACCAGAATATTTCTCGGGGAGCCTAAAAAACATTCTTATTCTTTTTTTTCAAGCCTCTACACTAACAGAAATCACTACCAGAGCTTTAACAAGTCTTTTCAAAAGGCCACATTTTTCTTCACCTGCCTGTCACCTCTCAGTCCCACCCTTGCCCTTGCCATCTCTCCACAAGGGGGGAGACAGGACAACCTCCCATACTCCTGCAGATGAGCACCTCAACCCTAGACTGTGGTTCTCATCACCTTTGCCATCACAGCAAGCCTAGGAAATCACCACTGTGCCTGGCTATGAAGTGGGGGGAAGCAGAAGAGTTTTTCAGAGCTGGAAGATGCTTTGATCAGGGCCATTTTTACATGATATTGGGTTAGAGGGACACAAGCACACAGTGCCTCTTGCACGCTGCTCTCTGTGAGGGCTGGTGGCAATACATATGCAAACCAGCCACCTTAAAAACAAACAAATGAAACCCAAACCACCCTCTCTCAAGAATACAGCACTGCCATCGCATCTGACAGTGAGGAAAAGTCCCTGTTTGGGTCACATTAAGCAGCTTGATACATCCTGGGACCTGAGGTCTACAGCAATTTACTCCGGAAAACAATGGGTATGAATTAAGTTGGTTTTGTACATCCAGGGTAATTGGCTTAGTAAAGCCTGGTTTTCCTAGGACCTTCATTCAAGAGGTTTTCAAACGTGGCTCTACTTAATGAAGCTTCAGTTTTGCTAGGGCTGTACAGCTTCCTATCCACTGGCTGGTGGTCCCAAAAGCGTTGGATTTTTTAAATTTTTTTTGAGGTTTTCCTTTCATACATGAGTAAACAGGACTGGGAATACCGGTGCCTGGTTCTCCATTCTCATCTGCACATTGTTAGGCCAAACCTGTTCCT